ATTTTTGTTTGATAAAAAAAAATGTTTCATTGATGTTATCAATAATATATTTCTAATATATAAATATGTATTTTGTATGTGATATTTAGTTAAAAACATAAAATTTCAATTCAAAAATCTAATACTTATATGACATTTCTAGACAGCAACACAAATGCTAATTTTTCTTGATTTTAATATTAAACTCTCAAAAATTTGGAATATATCTAAAAAAGCTGCAAAGTACTTATTAAATATTAGACCATAGTATTGGGCATTCTCATAATTTGAACTCATATATTCAGTTTGGCCATATGACTTCAAATATTATAGAATTTTTAAATTCTTAGATCTTAAAATCATATGAAATACTATTAATTTTAATATTAGAAATAATTTGTAAGTAAATCATGGCATGATATAATGAGTGATTTATCATTACCAATACAATTACTAAACTATTGTCAACTAGTATAGAATGGTAGATTGAATGATCAAAAATATTTGCACATGGTTGTCACATTATTTCTTTATTTGATTCTAACTTTGAATACATGTTAAAGCTATCATCTAATATCTTGGATTTAAAAAATTACACATTCACTTATAATTGGTGGTAGTTATCTAAAATTCCATATAATTAATATTATGTATATATAATTACATAATTATATGTATAGAATTGTATAATTATATGCATATAGTTAGTATATGTGCATATAATAAGTATATGTACATATAATTAGTATTGTATTATTCATGCAACAATCAATTATTAATTACATTGCTTACTTTAATATTATTTAAGCCCAGCAAGCAATTTATGCAATAGCCATCACTCTAATATCATCCATTGAGTATTCAAAGAATCAAGTAATAACTAAATCAATGTTACTATACTACTACCATCCTTCACATGATGTCAATTTGGTTGCCCAAAAAGATGTTGCATTTGTATGGAGGATATAGAAATAGCCAAAAAGAACATTAAGCATAATTATTAACTTACAAGGAACTAATTTGATTTTATTGTTGAAGCATCCTTTAATGTGATGTTTGAGAGAAAGATTCAATGTAGGACATACTTGTAATCTTGTGAAATCCAATTATGTCATTTTATGGTTTTAAAGCTAAATTTTATCATTTTTAATTTTCATCTTGATGAATTTGTGTAGTAACAATTTTGCCTAAATTTTCCAATATATCCAACCTCATTCAATTGTTACTTTTCAATGTTTTTGATGAACTTTAGATCTTAAATTGCTACATTGTATTTAATATTAAATCTTTATTAATTAAAATATTTAATAAAAGATGTATTTATTTATTTATTTATTTCATAATTTATAATTTAAAATTAATTCAAATTTATTTTATTACATACTCCATTTTTTAGTTTTATCCAAAAATAGGAAACAAGATAAGTTTTTTAATTTTTAATTTTATTAATAAGGCATAATTTTTCAAGAGCATATATTTGAATTTCGACCATGTTTTTAATCTTCTTTAATATCTATAAAATTACAATTCAAGAATGCCTAATATAATCACAAATATGCTTAACTTCATTCTTCTATTGTTATTAATAATTTTTTAAGACTTCAATTTTATTTATTTGTTAAAATACCACTTTTCTTTCTCTAAAATATATTTCAAAGATATAATATATTTTTGAAAACCTAATATAATATGTAAATTGGAACTCATATAATATATAATAATATAATATATGAATTTAAAAACCTAATTTGATTTATAAATATAATATTTATGATACGATATTATAGATATTTAAACTCAAATTTTTTATATCAAATTGATAGAACTGAAATGTTTTTTTAGAAAATAAATAAATAAATAAATAAATAAAAGATACAATGATATCTTAATAATAAATCTTTAGTAATAATATTTTATTTTATTAAAACTATTATGTAGTATTTTAATTTTTTATTAATATTAATAATTAAAAAATAAAATAATTTAATTTTTTTATTTTAAAGATGAAGTTATAAACATTATACAAAAGTCATATTCAACTTTTTTAAATTTTTTATATGTATGAATTCTTCATTTGATTTTAATATTATTTATTAGTAAGATAAAACTATCCTTGATTTACTATCATTTTTACTTTCAACTAATACATATTTAATTTATAACTATATATATATATATATATATATATATATATAGCTAAGAAGTTTTTAAAGCCACATCCCTCAAACCATGTGATGATTAATTTTGGAGGATAGGAAATAAAGGATAGAAATAAAAAAAACAAGGCATGGAAGTTAAAAATGGGAGACAACGAACATTGAACAAGAGACAAAGACATGGATGGATGGAATTGATCATAAGATGGTAATGTAGGTTGTGGTTTTAACAACTCTATATATATATATATATATATATTACATATGATTGTATTTTATATTTTATTATTATTTGTAATTATAAATCAAACAACAAAAAAAAAATAAAAAGATTAAAGAGTTGTAGATTAAAAACTTTTATTATTTGGTATATAATTTAATATCATATAGATTTTTTCAATTGCACTAATTTTTAATTCTCGTTGATCTTTAATTATCAATAAATGTCAAATTAATACCATGAGAATAGTGATTCAAATTCAATCTTCATTAAACCTTCTTGGCAATATATTGCTCTTTTTTCCACCCTCTAGATACATTAATTTGATTGATAAATTTGACTTCCAATTGCAATTGCAATGGAAGCATTGGTCTTTGTATTGTTGCTAATCTGACAACAATTTATTGCTTTAGTATTTGATAAATGTAGGTGCTAGTTTCAAGAAGTGGATTTTGAAGCTCTCATAATGGGAGTGATTGAATAGAAAGCAAAGTTTTGGACTTGTGGAAGTTGATAGAAAATATGGCCTCTTGCGGCAAGAAAAACATCAATTGGGATTTCAAGGTAATGGCGGCTAAGGTGGACTTACACAAGTTATAGAAAGACATTGCTATTGTAGGTACATGCATGAGCTATATTAATTAGCTCATGGAACAAGGCAATGCAATATTTTCCAATTTGGACAAAAAGATTTAATATGCTCAACTAGGGATGCCTACATCAACCTTGTTATTGAATGAGTTGGACAATATCAAGCTCATTTATGTTATGTTGATGGAGTTATGGAAGGACTTGAGTTGAAAGCAAGAATTGAGCATATCTAGCTCTCAATGCAATTTTCTTGTGATGATGATTTTGTTTTGTTTTGTTTGTTTGCTTGCTTGTGTGTGAGTTCTTTACAATTGGTTGTTGTTTTTAAGAATGTTATGTCTAGCATTATTGCCAATGTCATGTTTTGCTTATTATATGCGGCAAGAACACCTGCAATTTTTTATTAATAAACTATTACCAAGGAAAAGGCCAAAGTAGATTCTTATATGACTAGTCAATGTAGCTCATGCATGCACTTACATTAGCAATTGCAAAGGCGACATCCATTTTGTGAGGTGCCCAAGATGTGAAGCAAAGTGTTGCACTGCAAGCTATGCAATACATGCTTTGGATCCTAGTTGCAACTAAAAAAAAACAAGAAGATTATAGTGTATTATGTTTAAGGGCACATTTACAATTATCACTAAAAAGTGGAATAGATTTGATATTATCAAGAATACAAGGGTGTTTTTGATATTTTGACAAATTTTAGGGATATTTATGATATTTTCCCAATTATTTACCAAAGACAATTTGACATATGTTGCACAAATCTACACGCAATTGGGTATCATGCAATAAGAGGAATAAATACAGAAAGTACAAAGAGAAGAATATTGTGCATGATTAATAGATTTTCATGATTTGTTATTCCACAGAATAGTTGTGATTTCAATCCTAAATAGTGGGATGGTGGAGACATAATGAAAGATTTTCATGAGTTGGTAGGTAGTTTGATTGATGACCCACTAACAGCACAGCCAATACTTATATTAATATTATATCAACAATACTTTCTAATTTAGTAAAAAAACTCTCATGTAGGATAGCATCAATGATGACGTGTACAAGTAGAGGTTCTCTTATGGTTCCCTGTGTTTAAATTCATGACCGTCATTAATGAATTTTCTTATTCAAACAGGGTTTGATTAAGGCATGCAAGTGGGATCCTCCCAGTCACACTTCCATATTAAGTGGCACTGTTTATTTACAAGCCTAGGAAGTTCTCCAAGCTCTTTAAACAAAAGTTGTTTTACTTGTTGAGGAATCTCCAAGCTTGCGTAATAATCATTCTGATTCCCAATCAAATGAATCTCTATGATCTTAATTTGAGGTTAGAACTTCTTTACTCAATAAAACATGCATAAAACCAAGAAGGAAAAAAACTCTTTTTGGCAACATTTTAAATTATTTTGTTGGATAATCGTTTTAGTGTTTATGCACATAGATATAAATATAAATATATATATGCAGGACCCATTTAACTGGTTGAATGATTGTTGAGTACTAAAGGACTTTTATTGAGATATATTATCATATTCTTTGCCAAACGTATCAAAACAATTCAAAAACATTCACATACTGGTTGGTAAATATTTCTAAAAAATCATGAGTAAGAATATTTCATAAAATTCAGCCAATCATGTAACAGTTAGAATTCATTCAATTAGGGAATTAGCTGAAGTTGGTAGTCTCTCCTCATCAGTTGGAATTCAGCTAATCAGGGAAATTTAAGGACATACACCAATTTATTTATTCTTTATATACAATGTGGTCATATGAACAAAAGTTGTGATATACATGGTTCTATTTTGCTCAAAAAGAGTTTAACTATTTTGAAGTTTCACTTGACAAAGTGTCTAAGTGTTGTCCCATTGATTGGTTTATAGTCTGAAACAGGCGTTTTACTTTATATCAAGGTTGTTTTAAAACCATTTATTCCTAATAACACAGATGATAATCTTCCTTCTTTCCTCCTTTCTTTCTTTACTTCATTTAATTGTTCTATCTTCACAAATTCACTGCCACAGCTTAAAATGCCGAGGAACAGAGGCAGCTCTCAACCTTGCAACGCATCACATGCTCCCTTGCCTCCAAAGATAGACTGAAATTTTGCATTCTCCCATCATAGTGCAATGCGCAGAGATCATAGAACCACATCTGCACAGCAGTAGAAGCGTTGAAGCATTGAAGCATTGAAGCAAGCAAGAAAGAAAGATTGCAAAACCAGGGGTCCCTCCTTGTTTCTGCTTCCAAGAGAATATTGAGTGTGTGGTTGTGTGTTTTTGCAACTGTTTTTGAGACGATTTCCACGCTCCAAGTACCTTGAATATATCTTATGAGTTATTGATAATTCACCGTCACTCTCACACACACCCCTCCCCCTCCTCAGACTCATTGTATCTTGGTGCATAGATGATGCTCCTGAGCTTCAATTGATACGATATAATTCTGCAGGAGTCAGGTGGCGGCAGCGGAGGAGGAGGAGGAAGCACGGAGCTAATTGTGTGTGTCTTGTGAGGTCCGACCAGGTAGATAATGGTTTTAGGTTTTCATGACTTAAAAAACTGGGCGAGGAAATTTGGGGGAGTTGGGGTTGTTGGTTCCAAGCCTACGCTCACGAGGGCTGGGGTGCCGTGCGGTGTCTGTTGTTATGTATTGGGAATATGGATTCGGGAATGAAATAAAATGTTTCCCTACTCGTGGCATGGACCTGCGTCAGAACCCAATGCCTTGGAGATTAACCCACACATGTGAATCCTGCTTTTGTAATTGAATTTCTGTATTAATCCTTACTGTCCCATGAGATTACTCGCACCCAGGAAAATCTAACTTGGTGTCCATGGGGGATTACTCTTGTACTTGCGCTTGGAATTGCCGTCAGAGTTTGTTACCAGGAGAAACTGACTTTGCCTCGACAGTGTACTTTAACTCAAAGGATGTTGCACGTTTACAGCAAGTTTCTATTGTGATGGACTGTATCTGGTGGGTTCTGGTCATGTTTCTGTTCATGGGTATTTTTGTTGAGGTGGGTTTTTAAAAACCGTAAGCCTCCAAACTACCATTTAGAAACTGAAGTTACACGCACATGCATGTTTATTTATAGTTATTCAAAATGCTACCTCTATTTATATGCCTATTTTCATTTTGTGTATTATTATTTTGATTATTAATATTTTGTATTTGTAGTGGATATGATAATTTGCCTTTGGTGAGGTTAGGCTGGGCAAGTGGAGTGCCTGGACGCGACAATTTCAGTGTGAACTTTTAACATGAATCTCAAGTTTTCTGCTGTTTTTCTTAGTGTTTTTTTGGTTCTCTTGTGGTCGAGGGACAGTTGTGGATGGACGGGCGTGATGATGAGTCTGAAGCGGAGGGAAGGGAAGGGAATGGAGGGCAAGTAGCTTGCCAGGCATTCGGGTACGGCCTGCTGTCAGCTCGTGGGGAGGCGCTCGTGAGGCGGCAGCATCAACGTGATTCACTTTGCTTGCGTGCGGAGGTATGCTATTGTGCTAAAGTAGCGGCGATGGTGGAGCAGAAGGAAGGTGGCCGGGTCCCTGCTGATGCGCAGCCATCTGGCACCACCCTGCCGAGTCAGTCCACTTCATTCCCTCATCAGCAGCTGGATCAATCTCAATCCCGTTGTCACAAAGTGGGAACGTCTACCATGAGTGAGCTTGCATCGCAGCCACCCTAACTATCGTAGCAGTGCTCTTCCTGGAGCCTTAAATTCGCATCTCATGCTTTCTTGCTTCATCAAAACTCTTGCATTGCAGCACAAGTTTTCCGTTTCTTGCTCCTTTCTCGGACCCAGCTTTGAAGTTTTGGAGAGAAAATTTCCTGGATGCTGGTTGCAAGAGGATTACGGAGACGTCTTGCATTCCGGAGACTATCTATCCGACAGGGAACTGCGTCTATATTCGAGCGTTGCTGCGCGTATATTGCTGTCCAGCTTTAAGAGTTTCCAATAAGGGCATTTTGTCGCACTATTCATCAGGTATTTTCCTCAGACATGTGTGAAGCAAAATTTCTGCTTGCCAAATATTGCCAGCACTTTTCTTAGGGAGCTGCTTCATTATTCGAGCGTTGCTGCACGCATGTTGCTGTCCAGCTTTAACAGTTTCCAATGTGTGCATTTCGTCGCACTAGCCATCAGGCATGTGTGGAGCAAAATTTCTGCTTGCCAAATGTTGCTGGAATTTTTCTTGCCTTGAGCTACAATCGGACTTTCCCAAAGTTTGCAGATTTTGCACATACTTTGAATGCACACGCAGTATCCAGTCGAGCAGAGCAGATTGGTTTTAAAATTAGCATCAAAGTCGTAGGGAGACTGCAACTTTGGGTGCCAGCTGTCTTATTGGAGGCGCACTCGCTTTCTCTTGAGCTGCATCATAAACCTATCTTTAGAGTTGGAGTGATTGTACATTCTGGAGCCTCGAGGATGTAAAATTAGAATATTTAGTTGCCTAGTTAAGAGGTCGTTGAGAATTCAATCATCTGATACCGACTTTGGCCGACGAATGATATCAATTGATACTGACGTTGGTGCTCTTACGGCGCGTTTTCTAGGCGTTCATTAAAGTGAAGTTGTTCGTAGTCCCTACCAGGTTTGGGTAGTTAAATTTTCGCAGCTTATTATCTGCTTACTGCCTCACGGGACCATGTGTCCTCCCGGAAATTTGTAGCCTAACCCAGTGAATTTATTTTTGGTGCTGATTGCAAAGTTGGAAGTGAAGTTTACTGACCCGAGTTCGGATCATAAGGCTTGGAGAAAGATCAGGCTTTAGTGAATGGCTATGGAAGTGGGTTATCTTCGGCACTCGACAACGATCACCAACGGACTGTGTTGTAACTGTGATCCGAAGCCCCGAGGAGCACGTCGTGTACAGACTAGGCTGCCTGGCACCCTGTGTCTCGTCAAGGATACCTTTACCTCTAGCAAAGCTAAACTAAAAAAGCCGTCTCAGAGAGAAATCTTTCTAACAAGTAGGAAGAGGCTGAATCAGATACAAGGTAAGCCTGTCTTCGTTGTTCATATCTTTGAACGTTCATGTCCAAATTTGCACGAGAACAGAATATTAAATAGGTATATAAGTAACTGCTTTACGATTTTTTGTTTGTAGTGGACTGTTAATATTCAACTAGCTGTGGCACACAAACATGATGCCATGTGCATTGTATCCCAAATATAATACCCTTTCATGAAAGCCTGCTAGCTCAAGGAGCTCAATGACATCCTTAAATGGGGATTGTCGTTTCGGGGTTAATTCAATTAACGTCTCGTTCCTAAATTCTTGCTAGAATCTTAGCACACTTTTAGCTTATTTTTAGTTGGAAAGATCAAAGAGTAACCTAGCCAGCTTATACTCGCATGGAGTACTGAGTTCTCGAACTCATATCTAGCTGGGACACCTTTGAGTTAAGTCCACATCTAAAAGCAACTCTTCGGATTCAGCAGGTAGGACTAAGAAGGCGCTTAGAAATTCATAAGCGGTCAGTTACTAACTCGGAAAACCGGTTCTGATTCAGATCCATTCTTGTTAACACTTTGGATGCATCTTGCAGATTTCTTTATAGATGCTTAGCACTGAACAAATTGAACAATACATTTGTTGTGATAAAATCTTGTCAAGGGTATGCGATTTAGCTTGACTATACAACGGACTCTCATATTGTTTATTGATCATCTAAATTAAAAGCTAGAAGCATGAGTCAGTAAGCTGTGGCATATTTTGGTAATCTTTCTTGAACGTTATCGTACGGAAGATTTCACCCCAAGGATTATGATTCTATGCTCGTGAAAAATCCTCGTATTCTCAGCTCTACCTTAAACAAGTTATTGACGATGATAATAAGTGAACTAAAATTTCTTTGTCGTCAAGGGCTAAAAGATGGAGAGGGTATGGAGGATCTAACATAATTGTCGCTAGAGTGGTGGATAAAAAAACATAAAATTAATCGAAAGTTTGTATTGTGGTGAGTATGTCTTCTGAGAATATATTGGGCTATCCGGAATGGTTAATCCAATATCTGAACTGTTCGAATTTGCTGAGATTTGCAGCTGTTTCAACGGCTGAAAAGGAGAGAGAGGCAGACAAAACATCCACTCCACCTATTCCCAGTAGCATCCACGATATTTCAAATGGAGACCACATTCTTGGCTTCGGAGCCGATTTGACCGAAGATCATCCTGTAAGTCGAACAGTCCCATGTATTTCCTCTAGTCTCAATATTGGTCAATCTCAACAATCTGCACGGTATCGTAGGAGCACTGAAAGGAGTGGTGCATCATTGTGCAGTCTTGGTTGAACCTTGAGGCTAAGTTCGAGCTGGCTCCTGACAGGATACACACAGTTCAACGAAGGATTTCACTGTGCTGTGTTCTGAACAAACCCGATGTCACCTTTTGCAGGGCTACCATGATCTTGAATATAAGAGGAGGCGTAGTCGTATTGCTGACCTTGCGAAGATACATAAAATGTAAGCATACATTTTCGGCTAAACCCAAGCATTTTATTCTGTACAAAAACTCTAAAACTTAATTTTCTTGGTTTCATTACTACCCCAAGACGTTAGCTGGATCAACTCGAAGCAGCAAGCTATGTATAAATAGATAAAACCTTCATTGCAATGATATTGGAGACAAAAATGTCTTCTGCATGTGCAACCTTGTACTGCATATGTGGACGAACCTATCCTAGATTTACTAGAGTCTGGTTAATAAGACATTGGAATTGTATTGTGCATTGGTTTTACTCTCAAGCTAGAACTTATGTGAAGTATTACGTTAGTTGTCATGTTTCCTTGTTCTGCACTTGATACATAACCTGGCTGAGGGTTGTACCAAAGCGGATGCTGTACACGCTAACTGCTTAGATCGTACAATATAGTCTTAGTTCGTAGAAAAACAAATATGATAATTTACTTTACCAGCATTAGTGTATACGCAGGCTGTATTGTACATTAATCTCTATTGAAATTGTGCAAAAGCTTATACTATTTTGAAGTTTAACTTACATCTTCTCACTCGACCTCAACTTTAGTTTCCTTTTGATCTCAAGTTTCATGAATTATTGCATTTCAGGCTTTTCTTTTTGCACCACTTATTCTCAGTATATATCAGAATACATGTCTCACTAGTTTTGCTGGGGATCTTTTTTCATCAATTTTTTCATATTTTTGTAAATTGTTCTGGATTTCTTTCTATCAAAAGACAGGGCTTCCAGTGATTATGCATCATTACTGTAACTAACATTCATGTTTTAATTGAATCGGCGAATGCAGAGGTGAACCCATTCCTTGCGTGGACTACACATCGGAAGAGATTCGTGTGTGGGGTCATGTGTTAGATACTCTAGTGGACCTCTACCCAACTCATGCTTGTAAGGAATACCTGAATTGCTACGAGCTGTTTAACTTCAAGCCAAACTATATTCCACAGCTGCAAGAACTTTCGGAGGTGATTATTATTCTCTTTCTCTGTTCTCTTTAAATTATTGAACCAAATGATTTACACGCGCATTTTCTGTCGATTAATATGAATAATACAGGAGCAGAAATCTCATTCATGAATTTTCAAGAAGAACCAAGTTAAATATGTCCTCATTTATAAGAAGTGAAACGCCAAGTCTGTATGCGACTGGCTTCTCGCAAGGAAGTCTGTTGACTCTTCCTTGTTGTCACTGATCATATAATCATTCCTCACTCATAAGTTGTACAACTTAACCGACAGTGAGGTATATAATGGATTGTCTGGTGATTGATCTCCTGACTGATTTGGAAATGGCACAGGGATAGTATTAGCCGAACTCGTCGCAAACTTCTTGTGATCAGTTCATTCAGTACATGACCAAGAGCCTTAGCTTCTAGTACATTCAAATTTTTCTGTCTAATCTTTGCACTTTTTTCGCAGGTTTCATCTTCAGTGGTTTAAATATATGATTTTGTTGTGCCCTTGCAGGTCCTGGAACGGAGCACAGGATGGCACATCCGCCCAGTAGCTGGACTCCTCCACCCTCGTGACTTCCTAAACGGTCTAGCCTTCCGCACTTTCCATTCAACCCAGTATGTTCGGCATGGCAGCAATCCCATGTACACCCCCGAGCCAGACATTTGTCACGAGGTTTTAGGCCACGTCCCCATTCTGGCTGATCCGGAGTTTGCTGACTTAGCTTGGGCCATTGGCCAAGCTTCTCTGGGTGCTTCAGAGAAGGATATCTGGCACCTTACGAAGCTCTACTGGTACACTGTGGAGTTTGGCACAGTAAAGGAAGGTAACGAGATTAAAGCGTTCGGTGCAGGCCTTCTGTCTAGTTTTGGGGAGCTGAAGCACATGCGGGTGGGGACGGATGGATTCATGCCTGAGTTCGTGGAGCTTGACCCGTTTAAGAAGATGCCCAAGATGAGCTACAAAGACGGGTACCAGAAGAGGTATTTTCTATGCGAGAGCTTTGCAGATGCAGCGGCAAAGCTTAGGGCGTATTCCAGAAGCATTCTGAAGCCTGAGGTGCAGTCCATCAAGTTTGGAGATACGCCAATCCGGCTCTAAACTTCCAGCTCCACCAATGTAGAACCAGTTCCTTGGTTTTCTGGACCATATATAGATCTGTAGATTACTGATCAAGATCCTTGCTCTTGTTGGTGATTCTCTAGTCACGGTTGTTTAGATTAAATTATATAGTTGTGAATGCTACCTACATTTTACTTCTAGGTGGTTTTATTTTGTATAGAATTTGACTTGTGGTTTCACAATGCACATTAAAGAGTTGACAGCTTCATGTATTCATTATTCAATTTCTTGCTGTGAGCTTCGCAATATTCTCAAGACTTGTCTCAAACCAGAGTCTGGGCATTCAAGTGGCTACAGTGAACATACTAAGGGCAAGTATTGGAACTAAGGCTTAGAAATGCTTGCACAAATTGGTTTACTGGTTGATTATAAGTTGTGAGACCGAGTTGTCTCGCATCTGGTTTCCATGAATAAGCTCATTTTGTTTGTAATTGCGTCATAACTCTGAAGATTATCCTTTAATACAACTCAGACGAGAGCAGAATCGAAGTAGGCACAAGTTCAGAAAGAGAGATCATCTTAGGCTCCTGGGTACTTCTCTGTTAACAACTTCTGTACACTTACACATGCAGATTGATCAGGAAATTCTAGACGTCGAACTTGGTAGGCCGTTGCATTCTCAATCGTGAGCAGCTTTTGCATGCATCTCGAGAACATGCACAAGTATAATTTCATTCCGACATATGCTGATATGACTTAGGGCTCAGAACGAACGGGCACAGCAATTGCAATTGGTATTCTAGGAATTGGGCCGTTGTACTGGTAAAGGCTGCTATCGATCGGATTTGAGTGCTTTTCCTTGACCAGCTCGCCAATTCTACTGATAATACCACATTTGAGATGAGGTAAGAAGATGAATCATCTAAGGGAGCTATATCAAACGATTCTCGAGACGGACAAAAGGCGTTAGATGCGATAGCAGCTGGGGCACATGAACCTAGTTACGTAATCTTAGTCCACTGAGACTCTACTGCCTGGGCTGCAGATTCACAAATCTTTCTTTTCAGATCGCTTACAATCACCAACGTGATATCACGTTGCAAGTTGCATGATTGAGGGTATGTTTCATTAGTCGTCCTTCCTCCGTCAAACTAAAATACAATTCAAGTATTGTCCTTAGCATTTTTAAATATACAGTGAATCTAGCTCTTGTCCTTGCTGCTTCAGAGCTAAATGAATGCCACCCGACCTGATTGGCGTACATTTCCATTCCCCAGCGCAGATTAGCATGTTACAATCATGGGCCTGGTTTATTATTCCTCAGTGACTGACATTATTGTACCAGCCTGCGCTTTCTTCCACTTGGACAATTTTGAGTTATGATACTCAAATTCTTACTAAGACTGACACAGGTGTTAATCCCAGGTTCAAAACAGTTGTGATAACTACCGCCCAGTATTCCTCCCGAACACCACATCTTTCCCAGAATCTCTCTGAGTTCATACAATGGGATAAAATTATCCTTGAGAGTGAACTAGCGTACATTGATGTTGCTTCGTTGATAATGGACAAACGTGTTCTCGAAGACTCACAGATGGATTGAGCGGAGAGAAATGACAAGATTCGAACTATTTTCAGTGCTCCAGACTGTAATTTTTTTGAGAGCTTTCTTAGCGAAGAATTTTCTACGATCTGGTATTTAAGATGTGCAAAAAAGAAGTCATGGTTTTTCAGTCAAAAGATCTAATTCTCTATTTCTCTTTCAGTGGCAGAAATCTAATATCGCATGTACACAAGAGTTTGCGGTGGTGATTAATCAGTACAGAGGTAACAGCAACTCTTCGTGTTGTGGTAAATTCTTACCTTAGTGCCCAGGAATTTTGATAGCAAAAATGGACGTTCTGTAACCATGCTTTGTGTTGTTACATTATTCACTCTACAGAAGAAAACAACTATACACTTCCATTTATTCTCACGTCATTCCTTACAAGAGTACAGTATGCATGCGAATTGAATGAATTATACAGGACAAGTGGTGAAGGAGTTAAAGCCTTCAGGAAAAAATATTATACTCATTAAGGAATACTTGGAGGGTCATGGCTTGTGGGTACTTAACAACAGAGCAGCAGCTCATCCTGGGTTTTAGCAAAGATGAAAAGACTACTACTTTCCACTGAGCAAGTTTGCTTGCAGGAATATTAACTAAGCATTATGCAGTCTTAATCCGGAGCAACCTCACTTTGGAGAAGCAGGATATCGATTTCAGCTCCGATCAATCTCAAACCAGTCAACTTGACCTGAAGAATCAAAGTTTAGTGATGATCTCTATGTGAAAAATAAATCATGAGAAACAGAAAACCAGGACCTGTCTAGGAGAGTGACATTGTCAGGTGCTATTACACTTGTATCCCTTTGTAAAGAGACTCAAATTTGGTCCTTGACAACGCTGCCGAGACAAGAGATCATACCATTTCAAAATACAGTCAGAGAGATATTGGCTTGCTACACCGATTCAATGAGGTACTAGAAACTACGTGATGGTGCAAATCATTGCGATCCTGGAAGTAAATTCCTTCAGATTTGCATTTTACGAAACAAAATACCACGACGTGATGAGAGGGATGAAGCTTACGCTTAGGACAATCGAACTGCTGACGAACACGACCTCACGGTGATCATGCACCAACCGTAGTCGGCAGCACTGAACAGATTTGAGGATTATCTGGAGCATGAGTTTCTTGCTCCACTCACTGCCAAATCGAAAGCGTACAGTGAAATACAACACTAACTGCAGGCTCATAGAACATGAATACAGACGAGAGGAGAAGTCATGGAGAAGATGTTTGGCGACAACGGTAGAGGGCACGCTAGAACACATCCAAGCGTATTGCATGAAAAGCATTCCAGCGTGCTCTCTCTCGTTGTCACCTAGGTTCTCCACCGTTTCACCTCCAAGCTTTCAGTTTATGGCTAGCCGCAGAGTTCTGACTTCGCGACATTCCTTCTGCACCCTAAAATGTAATCAAACTAGGCAGCACTTGCGAATGGTGCAGATATCGTTCATCTCGCGAGCAGGATTGTCTTCCAGTGGACACGAAATGCTGAATCTCACCCAGAGATAGTACGGGAGCAGGAGAGCTAAGAGGGAAGAGCCCCATTGGCATCGAAGGTTGAGCGACACCCCAAATGGAGCGGCACAAGACAGGCAGAGTGTGTTCTGCCGAAGCCTTTAAACCTGCTGCTGCAAAGTTCGACTCGACCCTCTCCGTTCCCCTTGCAAGCCCAAAAGGAGGAAGACGAGGAAAAAAGCTGTAGAAAATAAAAAAGAAACAAAAAAGAACTGGTTCTTCATAAAGAAACTAATCCAGTAGCCCGAGGAAAGCCGGCCCCACTGGACCCTACTTGGCGCGATATGAAGTCAATTCCTCCCCATTGAAACTATCGAGGAGTGGATGCAGATGCAAAGTGAAACGGGTGGTGCCACAATATACAGGATTCCAGAGGCTGGCCGCAGGGCCCCACGTCAACGCAGCAAACGGAGACCTGGAAAAAGAGAGAAAATTACGATTCGTCAATGGGAGTGAAATGAAGCAAGCATTGAGAAACATACCCACAATCAATAGGTGCAACCGAAATGGTCCACGAGATTTCTTTTAACTTTGGGCTTTTTGTTACAATTTCCGATTACCACCGTCATTACTTGGCGACCCAAATTCTTCCTCCACTTCCCCAAATCACCACCTCGATAAATCCCAGCCGGAGTTATTACCGCATCGTGCGTGGGGAATCGGAAACACACGATCAGGTGCATGACTCTGCGCAGGTCTCATCGCGACCAGCGCCAAGGGTTGCCATTGGGTCGGCGTTCAAAACCGTTTACCAAACCGGTTGCAGGTCTCACCTTTAAAGAGGTTGACAGGTAAGTCAACAGGCAGCGCCGAGACCTTAGCCACACAGTAAAAAGAATATATATATATATATATATATTCCGTTCTTTTCGACTCGAGAATCATTCAAGAGTATCCAACAACGACGCCCAGGGACTCAACCTCTGCGAACCACCCCGAGAATTCCCAGCTACCTCAAACAGCTTGTGTGTCAAAAGCGACATTGCAATAGTCCGGTTCCAAACCTTGAATCGAAGAAACGACAGCCCACCCATGTCCACCTGCGCAGCACCCCATTGGAAGTATCCTACTCTCCACTCGTCGCAGCGCGGACTGAGCTCAAAAGGGACCAAAGTAATCCACTACATTGGGCCGTGCATGAAATTCCGTCCCACCGTTGCGAGGAATCTGTAAAGGTCCGAAGGAGAAGGATGGAAGGATGGAAGCTCCTGGCTGCTGAGAACGGTCAGCGCGCGCCACCATTTCAGCGCCGTGATCTCACGCAGTGCGACGCCACGCCACATCTCGCCGCGCCGCGCCACGCACTAGAGCGAGCACGCCACGAGAGCGCGGCTGCGAGGGCTGGGGCGCTGCGAGTGAGCAACCCAATGCATACAATGCATGGGCATGGCTTGGCCTCTCCTTCTCTTCGTTGTGTGCCTTTCATGTCCCCTTCCTTTGCAGTTGTGGTTATTGGAGTGCATGAAAGGCCAATTTCATTAAGTAGGGTATTGGTTGTTTGTATTTGGTAGTTCGTAAAATACAATTTGTTGAAGAAATAAAGGCTTTTTCTGGAACTGGATTCATTATTGGCATTACGTTGAATAATAATGTTGTAAAAATAAAAATGTGGTATCACGAAATAGATTGAAATATTAAACTATTTTTAATATTACAAAATATTTTTTATTACTAAGTTAGAGTGTTTTTTAATATACATACAAAGTTAATTTTTTGTGGACAAAGTTTTTCTTGAAATATAAAATTCATAAAAATGAATAAGTTTTTATTGACCAAAAAGTTTCTTTTACCTTCAATAATTTCAGTTTTTTTCTTAGTTGAGTCTTGTAAGTTAAACAATATCTTCAACTTTAAAATCTTGTATCAAATGAATGCAAAAATTTGTGAAAAAAATAAAAAAAATAAACAAACAAACAAAAAAAATTAATTTTAAAATACTAATCCATTAATTTTCTATGTATTATATTAAAAAATTATTTATGTATTATATATTATGAATATTTTTTAATATTATTAATTAGATAATCTAAAAAAATATCTAAAAGTTTAAATCATCTTGATTCTATCATTTCAATTTAGAACTAATCAAATATAAAATTTTAGAATTCTAATAAGATTTAAAAAATTATTGCATCAATATTAATTCTATATATATATATATATATATATATATCCATTTAGATTTTATTTTATTTTATTTTTTGAAATAATCTATGATTTTGAATATGAATTCTAAACTCACATTAAAGCATCTATAAGCCAAAATGATATTCTACCAAAGTATTTAAATTTAACCATTTCTTATCAAGGACGTGAAGCTTGAAGAACTAAAAGATCATGATACTCTTCTATTATTTAAAAAGATTAGATAATCACTCAAAGATGATATAATATTAAATTAAAATGGCTATTGGTAAAGACAAAAAGACAAGAAAGTCTTCAAATAAGACTAAGGACAAAAAGACATTGACAAGAGTGAAGAAGGCTTTACTCTTGCCTCCATATATATTCTTAGTTAGGAGCTATGTGGCAATGTCCTATAGGACCTTCAAAATATATTGACTTTGTAAGACATGTATCTTAATATGTAAGGCAAGTTTTTTTTATATGTACACCACATAATTAGCTTATTTTACAAGTTACCAATATGTGGTTAACTTGTTGACCAAGTTTCTAATCTATCAATCAACTTCAAATATATGTAAAGTTAAAGTAATATCTATGAAGCTTTTAGGAAGCTTTTTTAGAAAATATTATAAAATTATCTATTTTTATATATTTCTACTTAATCATATAAGTAAATATTATAATAAATATATATGTTAGTGACATGACCTCCTTTTTTAGAGACGAATTCCATAAGGAGTGGTCATCATATGTTGAAGAAATCCAAAATGCAGAAATTGTGTTTATCACATACTTTGATCTTTGTTCTCTTCGAAGATGGTAGATATATTCTCTTAGCTATCAATATTGTCTCATACTAGAGAGAAGACGACCCTATTATTTGATCATTGTTGAAGCCTTTGTAACCTTTTTCAAATTAAATATTTAAAACATTATCAAGAGTTGTTCTTACCTCTAATAAAATTATCAAACATTGAGAGTCTCTTCCAAGGTCATGATATCAAATATGTTGTATCTTGCCATCTATTTGAAGAAGGATATATTGTTCTTAAGGATCTTCATTTTGAGTATATCATCTTGAAGATTATGACAATTATAATGTCTTATTCAATAAATCAATAAGTGAAAGCTCTTAAGTTGAATCTACTAGTTATTAGTTCTCCATCTCCTTAGTGTCACAAATATATAAAAGTTTCAAACAAGAGTAGAAGGGAGAATGCTATCTTTTTTAAAACTTGTTTTTTTTATAACAAAGATTTGCTATTCTCCATCTTAGTTTTGATAGATGTCATCAATAAAAAGCATCAATCTTCTTTATTACATTTGTAAGATTCTTTGGTGGTTCCTATGTACGTTCAATAATATCATATTTGTACCAATGAATAAGATATTTTAATCTATTTCAATGCCGCCTTGAATCTAAGACTTCTTCTACTTCAAACTCTTGATTATTATCCACTTCTATAGAAAGAGGTGGAATTTATTTTCTTCTTCAAATATTCATTGTCTTATATGGTTCAAGAAGAGATATATAAAATATAAGATAGATCTTCATAGACTTTGGTAGATATAATTGATAAGCAATAGAATTAATTTATTCACAAATAGAAAAAGGTTGAAGCCTACAATAGTCCAACTTGTCACAAAGACATTTAATCTTGTTATTGCAATAAACTAACCGTATTTTTTTATCCATGTTAAATTGTAGTTGTTCATTATAATATGCATTTGTATTGATCTTTTGATGTTCTTAAGCTTCCTTTAATTGTATCTTTATTGTTGTATGTAGCTCTGATAAACAATTTGCCAAATCTTCTACTGTAAGATAATGAAATTTTTAAAAAATTAAAAGTATCAAGTTGTAGATGGTAACCATAATTGACAAAGAAAGGTGTTTGTTAGATAGAAGAATATATCAAATTATTGTATGTAAACTCAACCAATGGAAAAATAATTATTCAGTCATCTTGATGATAATTGATGATATATCTCAAATACTACTTTAGAATTTCATTTACTTATTTTGTTTGCCAATCAATTTGACAATAAAAAATTGAAGACAGTTTTATATCTACCTTTAAACTTTTCAAAAGAATTCTCCAAAATCTAGATACAAATTGAATCTCCCTATTCAATATAATATCTTTGAACAATCCATGATAGCAATAGATATTGATAAGAAAATACTTAATTAATTTTTAACTAATGATAGATTTTATATATGATACAAATTATACCATCTTGATAAAATAATCTACTACCACAAATATTGAATCATATAAACTTGAGACAGAAAGGTCTATGATGAAATCTTTAGAAACAAAAGACTATGGTTGTTCCAAAATAGGTAATGGCTAAAAAATCTATAAGCTTGATAATGAGGACTTTTGAATCTTGAACAAATATCACATGATTGTACAAAGTCTTTGATTATCTTTCACATTTGAAGCCACTACAAATCTCTAAATATTAGCTCCAAAGTCTCATTATATCCAAAATATCTAGCTACTAAAAAGTCATGATGAACTTAAAAAATATGTAATTATACTTTATCTTTAATAATATATAATCATCCTTCAAAATAGAGTAGATTTTTTGAATCAAAACTTAAAAATATCATAAGACTTAGAAGAATTATTCTTCATATCATGAATAAGAGAATCAAAAGTCATACTTAATTGAATTTGCTTGAAAAAGGTTCAATCAATAGTCAATGTTGATTTTATTGCTCAAAGATGAAAATGCTCCAACTTCAAGAGAATTATTTTTTATTGATCAAAAGCTATATCTCTTTCTTTTGGTATAAGATAAGAATTTCTAAAAATAATATCTAAATTTTTTTGTTATTTTTTGAGTTGATAAGTGATCTTAAATTCAAATTTCCATAAAAACATGTTCCAACAGGCTTAATGATGATTCAAAATACGTACCAATATGAAGTACTTAAGATTCTTATTATTCATATACACAATGATTAGACTAGAAGTACTTTCTAAATTATGATTCTATTCTTGAAATAAATCTATAATTATAAAAAAT